GAGAGGAGAGAGAGAGAGAGCACGTCCTTCCATTGATCTTCATTGCACTTTCGGAGGTATTTGTTTATTTTTTCCCACTATGTTCTTATTGTGTTTCTTTGTGCATTTCATTAAATCATTTCCTTCTCTAGCAATGCATTCATTACATCCTTAACCTGATTTGCTTAGTCGTTTTTCTTCTTGGGGATATGACTTTGTGTCATTTGTTATTTTACTAAATGGTACTAACAAATCAATTTCATAATGGAAAGTAAGAAAATCAAGCCTGAAGTTTGTTAGAAACTTAAAAGAATGTTGAAAGTTTGTGGGATTTAATAATTATATTTCACATTCTGTATCTTTGGTCTAAGAAGGGTGAGGACATTTAGCTTTCCCTTAACTTGTCCCAAGGAACATATACTTTGCCAAACTTCTCATGAATCTGGAATGGAGATCAAACTTATGGGCTGCACTATAAAGCTATGGAAGAGAGTGATTGAGCAACGACTAAGACATGAAACGAGTGCATCAGAAAACCAATTCAGTTTTATGCCGAGGTGGTCAACGACCGAGGCTATTTTCCTTCTTAGGCAACTGATTGAGAAGTTTAGGGCAAAGAGAAAAGACCTCCACATGGTCACATGGTTTTTATTGATCTAGAGAAAGCTTATGATATAGTATTTAGAGATTTGATTTAGTGGGTGTTGGAAAATAAAGGAGTCTCAAGATACTACATCGACTTGGTGAGAGATATGTACGAGTGATCGCTGACTAGTGTACGAACAACTAGTAGAGAAACAAGTTAGTTTTTAGTGACGATAAATCTACATCAGGGGTTAGCATTGAGCCCATACCTCTTTGTCTTAGTTATGGATGATTTAACTGGGCACCTACAAGATGAAGTACTGTGGTGCATGTTTTCGCAAATGACATAGTTTTGATCAATGAGACTCAAAATGGTGTCAACACAGTTAGAACCTTGGAGGGGTGCTCTAGAATCTAAAAGTTTTAAAATTAGCCGGACTAAGACAGAGTATATGGAATGCAAGTTTAGTAATAAGAGGAGTAGAGAAGACGAAGTAGTTTAGATTGACGACCAAGAAATACCAAAAAGCCTATACTTTTGATATCTTGGGTCGATTATTCAAGAAAATGGGGCGATTGAGGAAGATGTCACACATAAAATTAGAGCTGAATGGACAAAGTAGAGATGTGCAGGAGTTTTATGTGTCCGCCGCATACAAATGAAGCTGAAAGGCAAGCTCTATAGAACAGTTATGAGACCAGCTTTACTTTATGGGGCGGAATGTTGAGCGGTTAGAAAACAACATACTCATAGAATGAGTAGATGTTGAGATGGATGAGTAACGAGACAAGAAGAGATAGAATTTGAAATGAATACATTCAGGAGAATTTAGGTGTGGAACCAATAGGCGATAAGATGAGAGAAATTAGACTTAAGTGGGCTTGCCATGTGTGCCACAAACCCAGTACAACACTTATTAGGAGGCGTGAGTTAGTTCAAGTGAAAGGCTCGAAAAGGGCAAATAGTAGACCTAAAGGATATGGTTGGGACTTGGGAGTAGTAAGAAAAGATATGAGGACTTATGGCCACACTGAGGGTATGACCCTTAATAGAGCAGAATGGCGGACCAGGATTCATGTAGCCGACCTCAATTAGTTGGGAAAAAGCTTTGATGATGATGATGATTCTTTATATTTGCCCGAATGTCTAAGATGACTAAGTGGGCCTGAAATCTCTAGGACCAAAGTTACAGCATGTGATGATTTAATTTGTCATGTGTATCCAACCCAACAAAAAAAAGAAGAACCTTATATGATTTATCAGGTGCATCTAATCATGTACCACCTAAAGCATTCTTAGCAGGTTCTCTTTCTGTCCTTTGATGTCCTCTTTTCCTGTTTACATTGCTTATGTCTCGCTTGCTGCAAAGTATTTGCATGTGGGTCAGGGTCTTCTGTTTTAGTTGTACACTGGATTCTAGTTCTGTTCCCCATTGTGATCAAAAGATTCTTCCTCCTTGAGATAGGAAACTGCTACCCATTCTACTTACAGGGACTTCTTGTTTTTTAGTGCTTCCAATCAAAGTTGTGCCCCTCTCTGGAAATAATATCAGAAGCTTGTTTTTGACCCATAACATACCTCGGGAAATGATTTCTACTCATTATGTACAAGTTAGTTAACTTGGATGGGCTAGTTTTATGCTTCTTAGCTGCTTTACCTATATATGTGCATATGCATATAAATGTAAAATTAAGATGTCTGCTTGTTGGTAAGTGTATAACATTAAATATGTGGTTGATGAAGAAGCTAATTGTGAGCAAGAAGGTCAAAATGTTGCTAGCCTGTTTGAAATAAGAGAAAGGATTCCTAGGATACAAAAAGCAATCTCAGGTGCCTGCCTGAGGGTACCTTGCTATATAACCTGAAACATAAACCTTATAATTTACTTCATGAATCGTGATATCTATGTAGCCTGGTATTGAACAAAATAAATTGCTTTTTTCTTTCCTTGTAGTTACTTCCTAAATGGAGTAATGATGAATTATGACATTTAATTGTTATCCAATATAAGATATTGTAAGATGTAATCTATATTCCTATAATAGTTTAGAACACATTATATGATATGGTACATTGATGGTGTATCTTGAAAATATAATGAATCCACTTAATATTTTTGCTGACCCTTGGAACAATGGTGAAATCCAGAAGTCTGTGGTATAAACCCAGGTTTCTAGCTATATTAGTGGCCTTCTTCTAAGCCCACATGTTCGCCTTCCTTCTTAACATTTTGTCTTTCTTTTGGTTTATTTTATGACAACAAAACTCAAATAAAACTATCTACCGTTCATCTTCCAGCTACAACATTAACTGGTCTGCATTTCGCAACAACGACACTTATGACTCTGGTTCTTCGGTGGATGGGCTATATCCAATCCACTCACCTCCCTCTATCAGAGCTGCTAAAATTTGTTCTTTTTGCAAACTTCTCCATTGTCGGAATGAATATCAGCCTAATGTGGAACTCCGTGGGGTTTTATCAGGTTGGCTCTCTCTCTCTCTCTTTCTCTCTCATCTTCTCTCACTTTGAAAGATCCTATTTTGTAGCTTGCCTGTGATCATATTAATTATTAAAATGGATGCTTTTTCAGATTGCAAAGTTAAGTATGATACCAGTTTCTTGCTTGCTTGAAGTCTTCTTGGATAAAATTAGATACTCAAGAGATACCAAGCTAAGCATATTGGTTGTGCTTGTGGGCGTTGGAGTTTGTACTGTCACTGATGTCAGTGTGAATACCAAAGGATTAATTGCCGCAGTGATTGCAGTTTGGAGCACTTCTCTGCAGCAATATGTAAGTGACATTCAACCAATATAACCCACTGTACTGTTTATGTTACTCTATTTACTAAAGCCCATTTAGGTTGTATTTTGAGTTCTAGCATGTTATTCTCTCTATGGAATGAAATATAAATAACAAGAATAATCTCTTTGAAATATAAATAACAAGAATAATCTCTTTCATTACGGTTTTTTGTTCTTTAAGGGGTTGCCTGGGAAACCATTTTTACAAAGTTTTGACTTAGCTAAACTGCTAAAAGCACAAAGAGCTTTCTCTCGCTGCTGTCTATTTGATCTCACTTTCTTAGCTCTTTGTAATGAGTGTAAGAAAACCAATATTACCTTAGTACTGCACTTTTTCTTGTGTGTCGGTTGTCGAGAGATGCAAACAAAGCCCTGTCTCCTTGACCGTACGTGTTGCCTTGACCGTACGTGTTGGGTGACCTCATTGTTTTTTAGTATGTATTGACACCTCTAATAAAAGGATCTGCATTTTATCATCACCAAAAGCCAATGGCTCAGATGGTAGAGTGTACTTTAAATTGATGAGGTATTGTGTTCTAAGCCCATGGTGACCAATATTTCTTATTGGGCTTTAACTTTTTTAATGTAAAATTCATACCGTAAAAATTAAATATGCCTCAATGAGCTCCAAAAGTTTGGAGCCCACTACCTCTTCAAGAAGTGGGAAAGTCTACCAGCACGTCATTGATAGCTAAGTGATTATATCAATGTTTAAAAGATCACTGATCTGGACGGGAATCGCTCTTCACCGAGCCAATTCCTGGTTGGAATTGGTGATTTGGTAGTTTATAACATATATTGTGTAGACATTATGCAATAAGCTGAAAGGGAGCCCATTTGGTTTTACCGCGTGATCATCTATAAATGGTCGGTGGTTTGGACCTCCATCCCTGTGTATTTCATGTACCTTATACTTATTCTTTCAAGTTTTATCATTTCTTCCACTTTTTCTTTTCTTTTCTTTAAACTGTAGCAAAAAATAAGCCTGCACTAAGGCTTGAACCTCCAACACCTTGCGAAGAACTAAATCCTTCAGCGAACCTATTTGATTGCAATGAGACCACTATATTATATTTTATAACTTTCTTTTTCTTCTCTTTTTCTTTTGGCCGGATCACTAGTCTGGCCAATTCGGATGAGGATCGAGGGGTGGACAATCCATTGATCTATCGAATTTTGAATACTATTTATACTATATAAACTTACCATTTGACATAAAAAGTGAAAAACACAATCCTTGAGATTCGAACTTCAGTTGCATCCATTAGGGAGCAGAAAGCTCTACCACGCTGAAAGCCATAAGTTTATTTTAAAAATCTCTTTTCTATTCTATAAAAAATTATATAAGCACTATGCATTGCTAGTAGCTATCAGCACCGAAACTAGTGTAGGCGTGAATGTAACGTTGAAGAGAACTCATTAATTTTGAAGCTAGATTTAACCAGACATGGATAAAGCCCTAGAGTTATAAAGGGATCGAGTCTGGAATGGGTTTACCCCTACTTGGACCCGATCCAAATTTTACCAGGGGGGTTGGGCTACGTCCAATTCCCTCATACACATCTCCAAACTAAGTGGGTCCACACGAGGTTATATATATAGGGTGTGGTTTGCATAAGGTTGCTACCTTAAACAATCAAATTAAGGCGCGCCTCCAAATTTGATCATGAGATGTAATTTCGAAGTAAAAAATTCTTAGGATGGCCTGATAATTTATTTTCATCTCTAATTAGAAAATTTTAAACTCCAAAAATGGTCCAAATCAAGTAGATCCATAAATGTATATGTTGCATGATGCACTTTTTTGGGACTAAAAAAGAGAGACGTCTAATTGAGAGAGAGAGAGAGAGAGAGAGAGAGAGAGAGTCTTTAGGAGAGATTAGTTTTAAATTTATCATTTATGTGAGATAGATATGAGAGAGATTCCTAAGGAGAGACATTTGTGAAACCATAGAGAGAGATTTTAGGAAATCGTAGAGGGAGACACCTCTTGGCAACATTAATGAAACCGTAGAGAAGAGATTTTTTATGAATATCCATACTATCATATGGGAAAAAGGCTTGAGGGGTTTTGTAGTCTTATTAGGTATATGGAAGGATAAAAAGTAACTTCTAAAGTTTATATATATATATATCTAGGAAAGGTCTTCCCAACACCTATAAGTGAAAAGGAACAGTGATTTCGCCTTCCCTCATCACCATTCAAAGTTCATCGCACTGTCACAATTGTCCGGTAGTGTTTTATTTTTCATTTTTTTCCACAAATCGTAATCATCTGAAATTTGGAGCATGTGTACATCTTAGTGAGGTGTACTTTATAAAAATATAAAAAAAATAATTAACGAAAACAATTTGATCAAATACCCCTGAAACATATCAAGGGTATTTTGGTCAATTTATTTCATGTAAAATATTTTTTTGATATTTTTCGTAGATTCGCCTATTTTTTATGAACACACGTTCCAAATTTCAGATCATTTTGATTTGTAGAAAAAAAATGAAAAATGAAACACTACCGAACAATTGTGACCATGCGATGAACTTTGGACGGTGATGAGGGTAGGCGAAATCACTATTCAATTTCGCCTATAGGCGTTTTGTAGTAGCTTTCATATATATATATATATATATATATATATATAAGCTTGTATAATGTTTTCTTACGGTCCCTCAAATCCTCGGCCCATAAACTCCTATTTAATCTTTATTTTATTTTATTTAGTTTTTAAATTTTTTTTGATCTCTAATTCAGTAGACCGGATTTGAATCACTAATCCAATTATTCGACATGGATCTATGGTTGAACGATTTGCCATTGATTCGGGTCTAAAACACGGGATGAACAGAGTAGCCCCACAAACTTGGGGGTCATAACAAACATGGTTTTCTAAAAGTTCAGTTTAATTATATTACAATAGCACGCTAGCATGAAACCACTTCCCATAATGTGTGTGTGTGTATTACAATGATACTATACCTAAATGAGATTATTTTATATTTCTTGGGCCGATATTACATGAGAAATGAGAGATTAAGATGTTGCTCATAGAACTAGAGTTGGTTGGATGAAGTGGAGATGTGCTTCTGAAGTCTTATGCGATTGTCGCATACCCAGTGAAACTAAAGGAGAGCTCTTCTATAGGACGGCTATAAGACCAAAGATACTTTATGGGACAGAATATTGGATGGTCAAGAAATAGCATATCTATAGAATGAGTGTAGCTGAGATGTAGATGTTGAGATGGATGAGTAACAATGCAATGAAGGTTAGAATTCAAAGTAAAAACTGTGGGGGTCTGTCGACTTAAAACAATAGCAGTTAGGAGGGATGATTTGGTTCAAGTGGAAAGCTTTAAAAGAACAAAGGGAAGGCCCTAAAGGACATGGACCTAAAGGCCATGGATAGAAGTAGTGAGAAAAGCATCCGAACATGAGAAAAGTTGGAATTAGGTTTAGATAATAATGATGATGTGTGAGAAAAGCTTTAAAAGACCTATGGCCGGTTGTTACAGTAACTTCGCCTATAGCTTGCAACCATACGAACGTGATTGGATGGTCGCTTGTGCATATTAGTACATGAAATCTATTTTTTATAAATCGGATTGAGCTGAAATTTGATAGTGTGCTTCACTTGGACACCCTTAAAAAGTACAAAAAATAATTCAAAAATAAAAATGACCAAAATCCCCTATGATTTTTGTGGAGTATTTTGGACATTTAATGTTTTAAGAATTATACCTTTATATTTTTAAGGTACGTGGTGGTGGGAGGCACACACCATCAAAATATCATATCAATATGATTTGTGAAAAATATCAATTAGTGACATGCAATCCCAATCATCCAAATTTGATTGAATGATTGGGAGCATAGCGAAGTATTTTAGCACTTAATCCATTGGCATATAAAAGTCTCTCACTCTGTAGGGACACGCACACACACCCACTCACCAGATTGGGTTGGGTTTACCTTAACATGAGCCTGACCTGCCGGATACAGAAGAGAGTTTAGACCTAGGTCATGCCGCCGTTCAACCGTAACCAATAAGCATCCTTTAAAGAACACAGCTATTCAATAAAAATAAACTTCAAAGATTTTAGTGATTGCATGTGAAATTCTCTCTCAAAGATTGGGGGGACCAGGTCCAGAGTCCTCAGACCGGACCCGAATTGTTTATAAGGGATTCGAACAGGATCCGAAATTAAAAAAATAGAGGAGAGAGAGAGAGATATCAAAACCCAAAAAAAAGAGACAGTAAAATTAGTTATGCGAGGATTAATCTCCACCGTTCATCTTATAAAAGAATAATTGTGGGAATTAAACACATATTTTATAAATAAATAAATATATATATATGTATATACTTTATTTAAATGTTATAACTATAAATGTATATATTTAAAATAAGTTAATAAAATTTGGACAGGGCCGGATGCAAATACCATTCGGGTCCAAGATTTTGGACCTGAACCCGACCCGTCGGGTCCAAATCTTGGACCCATACCCAGACCCAAGTTGGGTCTACCCTTCGGGTATCAAGTCCTCGGGTCCCAATTGCCACCCCTCCTCAAAGTGGTATTCCCTGAAGTTGTAAAATTCTTTTTTGTGACTATCAGTGCGTTCTTTCTCTTTTCTCATAGTGTTGTATCTCATGTTCCTTTCCTTTCTTCCTCGACTATGCAGTATGTGCACTTCCTGCAACGAAAGTACTCAATGGGCTCCTTCAACCTTTTGGGGCACACTGCTCCAGTTCAGGCTGCTACTCTACTGGTCTTAGGACCCTTTTTCGACTACTGGTTGACAAACAAGAGAGTTGACACCTTCAATTTCAATGTTGCATCAGTGGTGAGTATCAAACCATTTATTGACCTCTCTCTCTCTTCCTACTGGTATTCGCCCGTCGTCGGTGATAACAATCAATGGTTTCTGCTTAATGAAATTCAAAAGGAACATTGAACGTTTGATATGTTGTGTGCATGTGTGTGCTTGTGCATGTGTTTCAGAGAGAGAGAGTAGGAGAAATGTTGCGTCTTTCTGATAAGTAGGGCTCTTCACCTATTTTCCATGACTAAGTAGAATGTGTGTGTGAGAGAGAGACCATTTGCATGTTGGAAATTCAGATTCTTGTCTTCTTTTTTTAAAAACGTCAGTTCTGATTTCTGTTCCAAAGAGAACATTGAGATAACTGTTAGAAAGACATAATTGTGCCAACAATTACTACCTCACTTTCCTTAACTAATTGAGAACCATTTCTCAATCCGTCCTCCCCCCTCTCTCTCTCTCTCTACAGTTTTTCATCAGTTTGTCATGCACAATCGCGGTTGGTACAAACCTAAGCCAATTCATTTGCATCGGGAGGTTCACGGCTGTTTCATTCCAAGTGCTCGGCCATATGAAAACCATTCTTGTTCTCATATTGGGCTTCTTTATCTTCGGGAAAGAGGGCCTCAATCTCCATGTGGTTCTCGGCATGGTCTTAGCAGTAATGGGAATGATATGGTATGGAAATGCGTCATCAAAGCCTGGAGGCAAAGAACGAAGGAGTTATTCGCTCCCAACCTCACAAAAGCATGGGTCTCTCTCTGATTCTAGCGAGGCTGATGACAAGATCTAATTTGGAGGTTCTCTCTCACGTTTTCGTGATTTTTATTGTTGAAGAAAAAGAAAATCAAAATTCTTTCCTCTTTTTTTTTTGGTTTTTTTGTGGGAGGCATGAGATCACGTCAGCTCTACACCAGTTTAGCTCTCTCTCTCTCTCTCTCTTCAAATTTCTTGAGGGGGAGTGCAGATTCATGGATTCATAGTCCTGAAATAGTGTCTCAGTTTATTCGTGCTTCATTCTTAAAGGTAATTTATTTTCCCCTTCTTGGTGCATTTCTTGTGGAAATGAGGGGGCTGGGGGGTACTATCTGATGATCATAGCATATATTCTTGTAGACATTGTTATTAGCCTTGCAGTTTTCATTAGATGCAAGCTTTACTTTATTTACCAGCACAAAAGAAAAATCACCTCTTTGAATTAGTCTTTTTTTCCTTCTTTTTCTCATAGCAATTTAGAAAGAACAAGCAAGATTATTTGTCAGCTCAAGCACTAACAGTTACTCTGAGAGAGAGAGATAGCAATGGTTAATCATTTGGATTTGGGCTGCAAATCTGGCTCGGCAGAATGCAGGATTCTAGAGCTGTCCCATTTTCATGCCAGTCTCAGGCCTGGCTTGTCATAAAAAGTTTGGGACAGGGCCTATCTGCACAAATTACCGCTGTGCCCGGGCCTACCATCGCCTAGCTCGGGCTGGCCCATTGGCAGCCTTATCACAATTTAATTATGAGTGTGTGACAGAAAACACCCTCCTGACCCTATATTGAATTGATGTAGACCAAACCTGTGCATGCAGTAGCCTGAACGATACCATTTTTACCGATTATAAAATCTGTAAAAATACTAAATATGTTTGTTGGTGATCAGTGTTCGTAAAATCTAACTAGAACGGTTAATCGGACATGGGCGGTTTAACTGGCGTCACCGGTAAACCAGTCGATTCAACCGTTTTAATCGGGCAAGTCCGGTGAGGTAAAAAAAAATGTCGAAAAAAATAAAATAAAATATAAAAAATAAAATAAAAAAATAAAATATGAAAAGCATATAAAGGATGATTGAAACAAAATACATTCAAATGAAGTTGAAAATTAATGAAAATGGATTTTAACAAATCGATTTGTGTTTAAGGGTATTTTTAATTTTTTTAAAAAAAGGATGAAAAAATATAAAAGTGATTATTAATGATCAAAATAATTTTTAATATTTATTATAATGTAAAGAATATTAAAAAATGTATTACAAACCAATTTTGTTATATCTGGGAATTTATATACATGTTTTTTATTTTTTATTTTTGTAAATATCAGTCGATCACCAAAACCGTCCAAAACTGGAACTGGCCTCTAACAGTGCCGTTGGCAGTTAGATTGCCCAGTTTTTCTAATAATGTTTGTAATCATTTGGTTAAATTCTTCAAGGTGATATTATCTCCGCAAGAGCTAAAATAGAATCATTGTTTGTTAGAATAATTAGCTATTTGGTAATGCAATGAATATTTTTGACCCATTTATAGTTTTCATTATATAGTGGTTCCCTGAATGTATTGGTTGTGTTGCATTGGAATAACTTTTTTAAAAAATAATATGATTTTCTTTTTACTATACAATTCATATTGTCATGTAATATTTATATTTGAAGGGATAGTATAACCATTTATCTTTCAGGCCACAATAACTTCTAGCCACTAGATGTCAAATTAGCGGGCTTGAAATGTGTTACAAAATTTGAATTTTTTTAAAAACCTTTGAGTCTAGTCAATGAAACATTGATAGTCTTACAACTACTTGATTTAAAATCTGACAGACTAGAATGATTGTGATATTATACCAAAAGTAAATGGCCTCTTTGTATGCTTTTCTATGTTTGAAAGAACACAAGTTATCACAAAATTCAATTATATGATACTCTTGCTTATAACCAGAATTAGAGAGAGAAATCAGGAATAAGATGCATGGGTAAAGTTTCAGCTAAAGTTTAGGTTGACAAGTTAACGGGAAACTTGAGCTTAACTTGACCCCTCAGCTTGCTTCCCTTGATAAGTGAAGATAAGCTTCAGCTTTGACTGGACCCATTTGTGTCCAAATGGGCGATTCTTACTAAATTATCAAGCAGTTTAATTTTGAAGAGGAAGTCTAAATCTCTCTAGTGAATGTTTTAAAACACAGATCGAATAGGGTGATGGCCTAACCACCTATTCGAATCCGAATCTTTGGAGGTTCCACTGGTTTCTGTGCCCTCCTTAAATCACTTGATTACTTGATGTGTTCTATTCTTGACGCGTTCTTTGTAAGAGCTATGTGTTACTGTATTACACAAGCTAAAAGTTGGGCTCAAGGTTTTGTCCCTTCCAAAACTGATGCAGGGATGATGGAAAATAAATTATAAAGATAACGATTGAGATATATATATATTGACAGGAGTATGTTTATTTCATTAATAATAACCAAGAGACATACATAATGTGAAAAAACGAAAAAGAAAATCAAATAAACAGGTTCTCCGAAATCAAAATCTCATCCATCTCAACTCATTTGTTTGCAAGACCATCAACCACCAAATTCAACTCTCCATACACGTGCTGGAAAGTTAACAGTCATTTGATCGGTAATATCCAAGATTGAGAGATATACTCCACTCAAGATCGAACAGAGGGTATGCATTTAACTACTAGATAGGAGAAAAGAGAGAGATGGGGGAAGAGAGATTAGAGGACTGCAGTGGAACGAACGTCGAGTCAAGAGTTTATTTTAAATCTTGCAAAAGATTTTGCGGCGGTGAATCAAACCTTGAGAGAGTGTATACTCTCCCACCCCTTTAAATTCTATTTTTATTTTTCCAGTGGTCATTTTTTTATATTCCTACATCAAATATTCTTGTAAAAGTAGCAAATAGCAGTATCATGCTTGTTTTTCGTGGCTAAATGCTATGCACAAGATGAGCCTCGAATATATATGGCCATGGATATACTTTAGTTCGCCTCTGACACAGTTCTCTTCCCCCTCTTTCTCTATGGAATCACATCATAAAAACAAGAGATTCGAAAATCGAAGAGAGGAAGAAGGGAAGCTCGAATATAGGCAACAATGGAAAAAGAGAAGTACGCTCTATGCTTCAAAGGCCCATTGTCTGGATAGCATTCACCAATGAAAAAAAGGCGCAGCACTCGCATGAGGCAACTGCCACCACTACAAGTAACCAAAAAGTGTTTTAAAACCCAAGTTAGTGGGACGGATCAATCACTCACACATATGCCTGATCACTAGATCGGTAATTCTTATTGGGTGAGGATTGGTGATTTAGAAAACATCAAATATAACTAAAAATGAGGATTCTTGGGACTTGAGAAAATATAAGTAAGCTTTAAAGAAAAAAGAAAAAAATATAAAAAAAGGCGGATTTTATAAAGGAACCGAGATTCATCCCGGAACCAGATTGACTTATTACCCTTTGAATCGGCTAACCAGATCGGAAATCACTAGGTTCTAAAACCCTCTTAATGAAAGAGAACCAAAATTTTCTATGCTCTAATATCATATATAGCTCTCACAAAAAAACAAGTTGTAATGTGACCATGAAACACGTCGTAGATTTTTAGGCCGCACATAAAACACCCATCTACATATTCATTCAAAGATCTTGAGACAAAAGAGGACAAAGCAAAGGTAGAAAAACTTCATGATTAAGAAAAGCAATCCTCAAAGGTAGCAAGAGAGAGAATGTAGGAAATTTTCATGATTAGCAAGAGCAATCCTCGAGTCTAACTCAAAACTCAGATTAATAATAATAATAATAATCCATAAAAACAAAAACAAATAAAGCCCAAAAAAAGGCAGGGAAAACAAATTCTAAAATGGGGAGCTTTACGGAAGTGGGTGATGGATAAGGGGGGGTAGGGTGTTTAGTGGAGCTTCTTGTCCTTGAAAGGGCCTTTGGGAATCTTCTGAAGGAACTTGGCATCCACCACTCTGTATTGCTTCTTTGCCTCACCCAGTGCCCTCTCCGCAAAAAAATCGACCTTATCCTCGTGCTTCTCGTATAGCACCGGCACAGTGTGTAGAATAACAAACACTGTTCCAAACACCAAAAGATTCAACAAATTGGGAATGACAGAGAGAGAGACCAAAAGATTCAACAACAAATTGAAAACAATAGAGGGCGACCAAAAAAGATTTCAAAAACAAATTGAGAACAATAGAGAAAGAGAGTGCGCAAAATCAGGAGCAAGGGAGCGACATTTTCTCTGGGTCATATGCTAGAAGAGGCGGGCTTGGAGGTTCACTGGGCGGATTTGCCCAAGTCAGTCCAGATCGGGAGCCAGGCAATCCCAAGGCCAAAAAAACCGGGGTCCCAAACGAGCCTCTCCCATTTTTCATAATGTTCACATTCCTCTAACTAAAAATTGCTGTCTGAATAGGACTCGCCCAACTCGGACTGAGGCGTTAGAGGCTTAGGCCATAACTCTGCCACAGTCGAATTAATGCTGCAGAGGCATCCCTCAGGGAGTCTCGAAATGAAAAAAACACGTAATAAACAAGAATTCTGGGTCAGACTTGTCCCTATTTTTGGGTAAAGTATCTGAACCTGACACCCTGATGGATCCAAGTGATTCAACTGAATCCAGACCCAGAGACATTGTCATTTAAGACACTGACTATATCCAATGCTTAGTTATTACCATGGACTAAGACCCGATTCTATATACAATGGGGTGCTCAAATAGAGTAGAGAGATTTAAG